TTAATCTGTGGGTCTGACAAACGCTGCGTTTTCTTTAACACCAATTCACAGCATGTGACATATCTGCATTAGGTCAAAAAACAATAAACTATCCTACCATTCATTGGCTAATACTTCAACCTTCTTTTATGAGTGAAACACAACAAAGAAAATAAAATCTTAGTTTCATATGTTTAGGAATCTTTGACCAATGCAATTTCGTCACCACATGTTGTGCTATGACATCGAACACAAGTCACATTTCACCATGTTAACTATTAATGCATTCGTTAACGTAAATAGTATAGGTTCATTAGGTTAGGTTGTCACTAGGATGCAGTTTTGAAAAAAAAAAAAAAAGCTATTTTTAAATAAATAAATATTTTAAATGTGAATAAACTAATAAGGGTATAATTTTTTTTACTTATTTTTAATATAAATGGACTTTTAATTATTGTCAGGACAAAGTGCATCTAATAGTTAACCAATACAATTAACTATACGACAGTTGATGATCATTAATATTTTGTTTGGGTCATCTTGGGTGAAAGTTACTCTGAATATATTGATTGTGAATTGTTTATTATAATTCATGAGAATTGTCAAAAATAAAATATATTATATTTAAAGTTACTCATTTAATTATATAAGTAATTTTGACATGTTTTAAGAAATTTATAATTTTGATTATTTTAAGCAAATTTAATTGTCGGATTTATATTAAAATAATATATTTTATTTTTAAGAACTTTTAATAAATATTTTTCATGGTAATATTTCTATTAAAATAATACTTTATTTTTAAGAATTTTTATAACTAATTTTTCACTGAAAAATACTCTCATTAAATGAAGAAAGTAAAAAGCAGAAATCATCAAAGTAATTTTTAGTATGCTTTGTTAAATTTAAAAATGAAAATACAAAAAATATAATAAAGTAACTTTTTATATATTTATTAAATTATTATTAACATTCAAGAAATAAATCAATAAATTTATGATATAAATGAAATTAAATTCATTTTGATCTTATAATAAACAATGATTTAAATGATTTAAGGTCAGATTAATTTATAGATTTACGAGAGAATCTATTTTATAAAATAATAATTAATTTTTAAATATAAAATATTTGATTAAAAAATATATTTAATTTTTATTTTATAATAAATACTTTTTTTATAATTTTTATATTAAATTATTGTATAATAAATAAATATTAATTTTATCAATATAGTTTAAATTTGTAAATGTTTTTTAATTAATCATTATTTATATTTTATTTATTATTATCATTAAGATAAAATTTACATGTTAATTTATTGATCTAATATAAAATTATATTAAATAAAAAATTATAATTTGTTTTAAAATATAAATTAAAATAAATTATTAACATTTTTAAATTAAATAATAAAAATATCTATCTATTTTTTATTAATGTTTCAGTATGCATTATTTAATTATGGATAAAACGTAAATATTTTATTAAATCTCCCAATTTAATACTTATATTATACATTATTAACTCATTAATAGATTTTACAATAATCAAACTTATATAAATCAACCTCAATCCATCATATAATATTAATTAAATATAAATGATCTTCATATAACAAATGTATGATTGGACATAATGACAATTAAGTATTTAAAAAATATTTAAAACATATTAAATATCACTTCAAATAATAGAATATGAAGGATTGCTTAAGGAAAATTTTCTTAATTAAATTAATGATTTGAAGGAATAACTCTATTATTTATAATTCATGCTTTTAGAATTGGATGATAATAAGTGAATTTAACTTTAAAGGCTTAACATAAATTTAATCGGATCTAATTAAATTTAATAAAACAATAGTTTTATAATATAATAATTATATAATAAATTTAATAATAATAAATTTATATAAAAATAATAAAAGTTACTGAGATTATAAAAATTATAAATATAAAATATATTAAAAAATAAAGATGAATAATTTTTAAAATAAAATAAAAATATAATCAAATAATTATTATTTGAAATTGATATAATTAATATTAAATAAAAAATAATAAAATATTTGTGGTTATAAAAAATATTATTATAGACAAATTTTGGATATATTGGATTGTAGTGAAGGTTAAAAAAATTAAGAGATTAATAATAATAGAAAAATATGAATAAGAATTAAATGATTTATAAATAATAAAATAGTTTTATTATATGTTTTTTATTAGATATTTTAAATAATAAATTATATATATATATATATATATTTAATTTTAAATATAACTATATTTATTATCATATGTATATTACTTTTATTATATAATAAATATTATAAATTTGAGAATTTAAATATATAATATTACATTTAAAAAAAATTATATTAGAAAAAATTGATTTTTTATCGACAACAAAAAAAATTAATCTTTTCATTAAATCGGCTGCTGTACGATTTTCAAAACAATACATTGAATCCCTTTCTACGTTATTTAAGAAGACCACCGATAAGGAAAAAAAATACTATTTATTTTAAGTTTTATAATGTTATTCAATTAAAATGTTCACTCCCTGTTACATGTGAAAAACTGAGAACACATGTGGAGTTGGTGAAATGGTTTTAAAAACATTGAGTTATAACAGCAGTGCACGTTGTTTGTGTCAGGTAATTAAAAATGGATTCAAATAACTTTTTATTTTTCATAATTTTTAATTATATATCTTAATAAACAAATTTATTTTTTATTATTAATATTATTTATCATAATGTATATTATTTATTAATTTTCATTAAATAATATGCCAATTGAAAAAAATGAATGTATATATATGTGTTTTTATTTATTTGGAAATTTTTATTTTTATCATTAATAAAGTTATTTTTAGTTATCTTTTATCTTATTTTCTTTAATTGATGAATGGTTTGACAAGTAAACTAGTCAGTGGCTTGATACACGATTTATTTTTAAAAAAATTCTTTATTTTAAAAAACACAATCCCAATTATAAAATTAATAATATTATTTTCAAAACATTGATTAACTTAAAAAAAATAACTTTTAAAACATATTCGGCTTAATTGTACACATTCGTTAATATGACCATTTACCAAAACCCTCATCCAAAATAAAATTAATAAAATAAAAAATGTTAAGATGACTAAAACAATTTTTTTGTTTACACTATAAACAAAATTTGAGGCGAGAAAGAGAAAACACATGAGATATATTATTTTCATGGTTTAAGTTATCAATTAATTAAGATTTATTTTAAAGTATGATTTTAAATAATTATTAAAAATCATGATTGGGAAATGGTTTATAGTGAATATACAATCACGATTAAAATTAATATAAAAACTATTTATACAGTCGGTATAATAAAATAAAATGAATTTATGAAATTTAATCTTAATTATAGATAAATGGTTTGTAAGGATAAAATTAGTTTATTTTTTATATGTACTCTCACCTCATGCTTTATCACACATTTAATATTTTTTTATTAAATTGTTTTTCCTCTAGCATAAAGTATGATGACATGGATTTGTCAAGGCATGCCAGCGAAATACAGAGTAGGGATATGTTTGGTTTTCTCTGCCCAGTTTAGGATGGGATGACGAGTGTAAGTTGAGGTGATTCACGAATTTAAGTTAAATATTGTTGTAGCATGTAAAATGTTGTATAAAATTCTCAACAACCAAATAAACTCTCTGCTTCACGCCCGAACAATATTATTATATTATGTTCTTCAACTTCAACTATTGACTCAACAACCAACACTACTGATTGTGTTATTGTGTTTCCTTAGCAGGGAAAGAAATACCTTTCAAACATGAATTAAAAGTAAGTATAGAAGAGTTCTCTATAAAAAAAATAAAAAATTCAATTTATTCATAAATTTAAAAAGTATAAATAAATTAATTTATAAAACTTTGTATATAAATTTCTATATTTTTGTTTGTTAATTTATGAAATTAATTTTTAAAAACTCTTTCATACCATTTCTCTCTATATTTTTTTGTTTTTAAAAAAATATTTATTTATTTTCCTAAAAATTATTATTGAAAATTGTATCTCCATTGGACTTGTTTCTATTTTTAATTGTAGACATAGAGAAAAAAATGATACGATCCTCGTAATCAAATGTATTGAATCACTAATAAAAAAATGTAGTTAAACATTTGAAGTGAAAATAATACAAATATAATTAATAATACTTAATGTTTTGTATTCAGAAGTCAACTGATTTAAATACGTAAGAAAACTGGTTTAAATCACATTTAATAGTAAATGTTAGAAGCACATATTGCATTGAATAAAGAAGTCTCTAGTATGTTTTTAGTTCCTAAAATTTATTTTAAAAAATTTGAAATGCTTGAAAATTGAATATTAAAATTTTTTAAATATATTTTCTTAAATTTCAAATTACCGATTTAAATATGGTAATATATATATATATATATATATATATATATATATAGTATTTTAAATAGATTTGTGGTCGTGTAACTTGTATGAATTTTTATATAATTGAATTTTGCTATATTTCTTATTATAAATATTTATGTTAATTTTTGTGGAATTTAAACAATAATAATAATAATAAAATGTCAAATTATTCATATTTTTTTGTATATTTTAAGAAAATATATTACGTCAATTATCATCTATATAAATAAGTTATAAAATTATGTTAGATTAATAAGAACTACTATATATATATAATTAACATAAAAAAAAATTCAAATAATGAAGTTATTTTTATTGATGTATAGAATGTGTGGGGCAAGAGCCTTGATGAATTATACCTGCATCAGTATTTGCAGAAAAGAGTAGAAAGTGAGAAAAGACTTAGTATTTTGAGAGGGTAAAGCATAGCCCCGAAAAGGTGGAAAGAAAAAAAATGAGAGAGGAAGGTTGTAGCGGATAGTTATGGGAAGGTTTGAAGGAGGAGCTTATAAGGGGATGGATACATCTATCACTTAAAGCTCACTCACTACCTCACGAGAAGCGCGTTGAAGGGGATATGTTATGCAAGTGTGGGACCAGTTTTACCAAGTCGTAGAACGCGCTTATACATGGGCCCCACTCACTCTCCCGAGGCCTAAGATGTTGTTGTGTTGTTCCTTCTTCCTTTCACCCACTGTAACTTAATAGCCATTCGTCTGGTTTCATTCTTCCCTTCCCCTGACTCAACTCAATAATAACACAGTGATGGTGGCGTTGTCGCTGTTTGTTAAATCCGAATCCAAAGGTGGCAGTAGATGACGAGAAAAGTTGAAGGCAGAGAAGCATCCCAGACGCAAACAAACTCGGACAATGGTTAGAAACATGACACGCAAGTACTAAAAAGTTGAACTATAAGAAGGAGAGAAGAAGAACGCACGCTGTGCTCTCTACCCCTTTTATCATTTTTTGTTTTTTGGACCTTACCGCTGCTATCCTTGTCGTTTATCGGTTCCTACCTCTATTGCCTGTCGTATCCACACACTATATATGTTACTTTCTGCTTTCTTTCTTCTTCCTCTCTATCTTTCTCCGCTCTCTGCCGCCGCATGTTGCGAGATTTGAATACCCAACACCGCCGCATACCCTTATCTTTTTTATTCCCTCGCCCATGTCGCTCAAGCGCCGCCCCGATGATGGCAAGACTCCAGACGACAAGCGGAGGAAGCCGCCTCCTTTCTCCAGGTGCGTGTCCGACCGGGAAACTCTCCCGAATTGGTTTTTTCGTTTCCCACCGAATGTGCCTTCTTTCGTGTCAATTTTATTGTGGGTTTCCGTGTCAACATGCTCACATGGGATCAGGGAATTGTATGTGTTTGTTTCAATGTAGGGCCAATTCGACCCTGGTGTTTATTGTTTAACCTGAAATGTACACTGTATGGTACATAATGGGATTAATGTGAATTTTCGTGTTGCTATGGATTGTAAAGTAAACTGGGAGTTATCTCAATAGCGAATGGAAATGGCAAATCAAACACTCATTGAATTTGTTAAGTAGTATAATTGATTAACGGAACCATGGAGTTTTTTTCCTTTTTTGATTTTGATTGAATTGAATAATGTGCAGTGTGGTGCGTGACGTGATGAGATTGCAATCACTCGGACATTTGCTGGAGCCAATTCTAGAGCCATTGGTTCGTAAAGTGGTATGAGTTTCACCTCTCATAACATTATGGATTAGTTACATTTATTTACAATTCTGGTATTCAATTTTCTTTTCTGTTTATGCTTTTTCAATGAGATGTGATACTGTTTATTACTCTTGGGTGTTTCTTGATGGTTTATGGACATTATTGTGCTTCGTGGAATAATTGAATTCATTAGTCAGACAATTTAAGTATTTCTTGTGAGTTACCACCATGCCTTGCAGCCTGCAGATAGCTTGTGTTGCATCCACTTTATGGTGCCTATTGTTTTGGCCTAACTCCAGGTACCACCATTCCCCATTGTGGACAACGCAGACGGCTTTCTAACTAATCCTTTTTCCATATAAAAGCATCTAAATGTTAGTTGTACCTCATGCTGGGACATTCTGTGATTGGATTTAGATTATGTTTTGTTACAGAAGACTCACAAACCAAAGATATACTTTAGACCTGCTTCCTGACTTGTCTCAAAACCTGTCATTGGGCTTAACTTATTTGATGTATTGAAACAAGTTTGGAAATATTTAATTTGATAAAATTGAGCTGCTCACCTAGTTTTCTAGACTTGTCTATAATCTATTAATAAAATGATAAGCAAGGAAACGTGAAGGGAAAGAAAACACTTGAAGAGCTTACCTGGTTGAATTTTTACCCCTAAGATGTCAACCTTTCTTTTTGATCTATGACTGGGGCGGTCATGTGGAGGACTGACCAAAGATGAATTTTATGCTTCCATTATTCATTTCCTATATCTGGCAAGTGTATATACTGGTCTACAGGAAAAAAATACTCGTTGCTTAGGTTATGCATTTCATAATTTAACGCTGCCCCCTGCTTATTATTTTTGTGAGATAAATGAACCAAGAAGATGAAGTCGTGTTCATATTGCGCTATGAGTGTTAAGTTCAGTAATGCAGCAAAATATATTTCCCTCTCTAGGACATTAACATGAAATCCTCAGTTTATTCTCTCTCTCTCTCTCTCTCTCTCTCTCTCTCTCTCTCTCTCTCTCTCTCTCTCTTTTCTGAAGTAGCATGTTTGGATTTTGAGCCTGTAAATGTTGGTTCCAATATTACTGATAGTTAGTGTCAGATACCAATCAAATGTGATCTCTTTACAGGTTAAGGAAGAAGTTGAAGCAGCCCTAAAGAGGCATTTAACCAGCATGAAACAGTAAGAAAATCTCCTGCTGATTATTTAAATTCCAGTAACTTGGACGTGGTATTGACCTAAAGGAATGGATTGGGAAAAAATGCTTTAACTGAATGATTTGAAATTGTTTAGCTTAACTCTAGTTGTTTTTTATATATTCTTTGTACTTTGTTTACAGGACCTGTGGAAAGGAGTTGCATACTACCGAATTAAGAAATTTGCAGCTGCAGTTTGAAAACAGCATTTCTCTGCCTGTCTTTACTGGTGGTCGGATTGAAGGAGAGGATGGTTCCAACCTAAGAATAAGTTTAGTTGATGGCAAAACAGGGGAGGTTGTCTGTACAGGACCTGAATCGTTGGCTAAGGTGGAAATTGTAGTCCTTGAGGGTGATTTTGAAGAAGAAAGTGATATTTGGATGTCTGAAGAGTTCAAGAGCAATATTGTGAGAGAGAGGGAAGGAAAAAAACCCCTTCTTACAGGAGATGTAATTTTATATCTTAAAGATGGTGTTGGTATGGTGGGTGAAATTTCATATACAGATAATTCAAGCTGGACAAGGAGCCGCAGGTTCAGGCTTGGGGCAAGAGTTGTGGACAACTTTGATGGTGTTAGAATAAGAGAAGCAAAGACAGAATCATTTATTGTCAGAGATCACAGGGGAGAATGTGAGTATTTATGTATGTTTAGACATATCAAGATATAATGTTTGCAGATGCTATCAAAATTTACATTTTAGACTAATTTTGAACTCTAAACAGCTGAGATGTTTATGAAATGGAACAAGAGGAAACATTAAACTGCACAAAAATGTATGCAATTGACATAATCTCGTGATGGGTTTCCTTAACATCTTTTTATGTCGAGAATATAGTAAAAAGAAAAAACAGGATACATGCTGTTTACTGATCCTGACTTTTTAATTCATATCCCTATGATTTTCTTTGTTGGTCTAAAATCAATTATTTATCTGCACTCTGTATTTTTTATTTTTTTTGGAAATGAATTGAAAACCTAAAACACTGAGTACCTTCGTTACAGTAAATATATAGAATAGAACATATTTTAGCTTTTCAAGCTTCTTGTCAAGGGAGGGATTTAAACTTAGTTTGAACGTTTGATTTCTGGCTGCAGTGTATAAGAAACACCATCCTCCTAGTCTGTCTGATGAAGTTTGGAGATTGGAGAAGATAGGCAAGGATGGAGCTTTCCACAAGCGTTTGAGTCGGGAAAAGATCCTTACTGTTGGGGAGTTTCTCACACTTCTCAATCTGGATTCAGCAAAGCTTCGCAGTGTAATGATTTAGTGTCTTTCACTTGCAAATTGTTTTTATAGATTGCCATTTGAAGTTTTTTTTGCAAAGTCTTCCATTGGCAGAGTTAATTTTCACAAGTTGTGTCAACTGTCAATGCATTTAGATTAGCTTTGTAATTATAGAGTCAGAAACGTCCTAGGTAATGGATTTATACATTCATGAGGACGTCCCATATTGTTCTTGTCACTAGCTTGATTAGGCTCTATGGGAGAATCAATATATAAAACATGTTATCTTATTCTCATTCCATTAAATTAAATCACTCCTTTGATTAACCAAAGTTCTGAATGATATACAGTATAATCTTTTCTAGACATAGTCAAGTACTTGGTTTCACTTGGGCAAAATTATAAATTCATTGCTTGGAAATGTGCAGATACTGGGCACTGGGATGTCTGCAAAGATGTGGGAAGTAACTGTGGAGCATGCTCGAACATGTGTACTTGATACAAGTAGACACGTGTACTTCCCTTCTAATTCTCAAGAACATGGTGTGGTCTTCAATGCTGTGGGTGAAGTGACTGGACTCCTTTCTGAATGCGAGTATGTCACAGTAGATAAGCTGTCTGAAACTGAAAAGGCATTTATCCCTCATCACCTAAGACTTGCTTTACTCTTTCCTTCTCTTATTTCTCATTAATAGCTAACAATATGATTTTCCACCATCAGGTTGAGGCTCAAAACACAGTTGCTACTGCATTAAGACAAGGGGAGAAATATGCAACTTTCGAAGATGAAGATTCTCTCATGCTTGGGTCTTCACACTTAACTAACGTACTTCACTCCCCAAGCTCTCCCAAGACCGAGGGATCTAGTGCCAACAAGCTTTTGGGTCCCCAAAAGTCTGGAGGATTCAATTACCCACAAGCAAGTGCCTCTTCTCCGGATATCATGTCATCCATTTATTCTGTTGGTGGAACTAGTAGCTTGGATGACTATTGCTTGCCTAATTTCGACAGCATGGGCCTTGGATATGATCAGACCCTCAGTTTCCCAGTCCAAGTCTCGAACTCTTTGATCTGTGACACTGATTCAATAGCTCATGCTTTTAGTAATGAAGATCATCTGCAGTTTTTTGATAATGATCTTCAATCTCACGTTCAAGCAGATTTACAGAGTGCTGTTGATAGCTTCATGCTGGCACGTTCTACAGCCAATGGTGGTGCGCAGAGGAGATGGAGAAAGGTATGCAACGTCCTAAAATGGTTCATGGTTAGGAAACGAGGAAACCAAATAAAGGTAAGATTGTGAAGAACATGAAGGTTCAGTTACTAATGTACATTGCGCCCATGAATGCGCCAAAAAATTATTCTACTCCTTTTATAGAGAAAAAGTTATGGTTTATCTTGATGTAAATACATCTGTGCATTTGGTCTTATAGTTTGCCAGATGTCATAGAATTGCTCTATCCTTTTGTTATTAATTTGTAAATACTTGTATTTTACGGTCAGGAGAGGATTTCTGGTTGTTGGCAGATGCATAGTAATTTTAAGATCCAGTTACCTTTATACTGGATCATATTTTTGTAAGCATGTTTTGTCCAATAAAATCATTTTTTCCCCTAAGAATGCTGGCTCACGACTAAAACTTTATCAGATATGTAGGACAGTATATGTACACATAGAAGCTACTATCTCCACTGGATAAATTGATTTTAGATGCAGATCCGAACGTATATGTTACACAGCTACAACAACACTTCCCATATATTTAGTAGAATAACATCTTAAATTCGTCCCATAGTATCCTATTAAAAACATCTTCTGTATGTTTTTCTCTTCTTGTTAAAGAAGATTGTGAATATTTTAATGTAAAAGACTTTTAAATTACGGAAAGATTGTATTTTATTTTTTATGGAACTATGGGCTGATTCATGATAAGATGCAAGCACAAAGTTTGTTTTATTTTGTAAAAATATGACTTTATAGTCTATTTTCAAGTTAATACAAACAAGTATTTAAGGCAATAAAAAAATATATTTTTATAATACAAAGACTGGTAAAAGAGATTTAAATTTTAAAAATAAAATTTATAGATATTAATAACTATTTTATAATTTTTTTATCAAACACTTTTTATATTCTCAAATATATTAAGTATACTTGGATTTTTAATATTTTATTAGTCAAGAAATATAAATTACTCAATAAATAATTTACACCATATAAATTAAAACCAGTTAAATCCACTTAGAAAAGGAAGAACAATACAAATATGTGATTATATATGTTTTTGAACAAAAGAATTAAATTTGATTAGTATGTACATAATCTTAATATTGATTAATAATACAAAACATTATTACCTTATTATTTTTATCTTAAGTAATAAGTAAATTAAAATAATATATCAAAATATTAATTAAAATATCGTACATAACAGTTTTTATCCACCATGATTTTCCATTTGAATTGTATTTTTCAAACTGTTTTATTTTTTTCCATTTAAACTGTGTTTTATGTTCCCACTTCGTGACGATAATATTGTTATTATATTTGAGATATAGATATATTTTAGAGTTTTAATTTTCTTTAAAAATATTTTAGTAAATTAAAATAAAAAAAGTTTAGTCTTGATATGAGATTTATGTACATAAAATATATGTTTATTATTTTCCTCTTCTTTCACTAAATAAACACGAACATCAGCAATAAATAACTTAAAAATTTTACTTGCTATTATTGTTGGAACTTTAAAAATGAAACAAAGATATATTGAAGTTTTTATTCTCAAGTATTTTTTATTATAAAAACTGTCCAAAAAAAAAATAGACAGTAAGAATATTATTGTTTGGTTGCGACGTTTTAAAAGTTATTGTATGATTGAAAGATAAAATAGATTTGGTAGATGAATAAGTGGAGGAGTATTTCTCTATATACATAATGAGTTTGAACAAGTACGAGAATATATGCTTGCAATAATTTATTCTCCCCATTAACAAAAAAGAATATTCTTACTGTCTGTTCTGTACATGAAATTATGTAACATTTTGGAACCTTCAATTTTAGAATGTTTATCCTAATTCTACTTTTATTGTTAACTTTTCAAATATTCGTTCAAGTTTAAGCTGTTGATTATTTGCAAATTTTGCGGTTGCATGGATTTTTTTCTACTATTCTTTTATCTTGATAATGATGGTACCACCCTCTCAAATAAACCCCATCTTTATAAATAAAGTTAAAGTTAAATATTTTATTTGCGGAAAGAGCCTCTTTAAAAATAAAAATAAATATTTATTCAACTTTACAAAAAAAATCAATTCAAACATAATTACATATTCTTGCAGACAAAGTGGCAATAAAAAGTTTGAAGAAAAAAATATGTAAAGTGAGAAAAAAAAAAAAAAAAGAGGTGGCGCCTCTCGTGTTTGAATACACCACTCGATTAAGATGATGGGCCACTGATTTTTGCTTTGAATTCTTGAATTGTTCATCAACCATACCTTTTTTACTTATTAATAATAATAATAATAATCATCAAAGTCAGATCTTTCGGCCCAGAATTTTTTTTAAATTGGTTTTTTAAAATTAACAAGACGTGGTCATTGGTCAACAGAATTTGTATACATACCCTTAAGTAAGATGTAAAAAAAATCATTTGTGATAGTTATTGAATTGGTAAAGATACTAGTAATAAAATAATATAATATTATTAGTTCATAATAATGCTTAATTTTTTTTTAATCAATTTTATAACTTTTTTGAACTAGCTACTGATAGGTGGGTTATGGTTGGTTGGTAAGTGTTGAAGGTAATTCTGATGCAGAAATTAGAGGGAAAAGAAATGAGATCTCTGCCAGCAGATAAAAATGTGAATACATACTTATCTGTCTTGGTTGATGGTAGAATGGTCATTTGTGCAGAGAGGGTCTGCCAGTGCCATGGGTGGCCCAAAGCCGTCATCAGTTAGCCCCAAATCAAATCATCAACCTGGCCATGATGAATACAGCTAACTTTGTTATTATTTGTCTTTTCTTCAACTCTTAAATATTGACCTATGCACAATTCAACATGATCACCACCAATTTGTTAATTTTCCCATCGCAGAATTTTGGAAAACATAGAAGGAAGAAAGAAAGTGTTCACCCTCTATTCGATTCTCCAACTGGGATTTTAACTCATTATCATTTGAGATGGCATCATTTGCGGGCACTACCCAGAAGTGCACAGCTTGTGACAAGAAAGTGTATTGGGTGGAACAGCTAACTGCTGACAACAAGGTGTACCACAAATCTTGCTTCAGATGTCACCACTGCAAGGGCACCCTCAAGGTGAGACCAAACATAGGATCATGCTTTTGAATTTGATCAAAGCTTCATCGAGCTTTCACTCTTAGATTAGTCAAATGATTCCTTTCTTTTCTTCTCTTCCTTTGGTTGATGATTATTTTTATACTTTAGTGCATGGAGAAGGACACATTGTTAAGGAGTATCTGCTAGAAAAATTTGTTCTGTTTCCAGTAACCATCATCCAATGTGACTTGAGTCAGATAGGAATAAAAGGAGCATTATAATCATAGAATTGAGGATTGGAAATAGAGCAGAATTGATGATATCTATTAGATCTTAAGAGAGAAAAGTCCAATGGCAATAACAGATAAAGATATTTTATTTGCTTTTCAATCTGAATAAGCAGAATGTGGTCCTGAGTAAGAAGGATGAGGCCAAGATGAATCCATGTGGGGGAATCCATATCGTAAGTGCAGAATAAAATGATATTCTTGTTGACATAAGTTCAGATCAATTAGTTCCTATTTGTACTTCAAAGAGTGATTAACACTCTTCTTCACAAGTCATTTTCATCTTTCTTAGAGCACAATCTATTGTCCCTTGTGATCATAGGCATTTCCATATTTAGGCATGACCATGAAGGAAAATCCTAATTTTCACAAAAAGAATTTTAACAAATTTTAACAAAATGACGTGGTTGACTGGTAGAATACGATTACTGTGAGGTTGCATTTTTCCTTTATCTAGTCAACTCTGTCACTGTGTGTGTCTTTCATAAACAACAGTCCTGGTAGTAAGTGGTATGCATTTAATAGCAAATAACCAAATCTCAGATGCGTTATTTATATTAATTCATCTTCGTATTCTGAGAGCACACTATTTATCTAACAGCTATCTTGGTCTGGATGTTTGAAATTGGAATGCACATTACTTAATTCATGTGGATGAGTGTCCAACTGACATATTCAATTTTAGTTTTTCTTTTTCAACTTTGAATCTGTAAGCCTATCACATGAGCTTCTGACTTGTTTTGTGGATGAAATTTTAGAATCATCGGGCAACTTTTTGATAACTTTATTTTTACTTAATATATTTATCACTTTGAAATAGAAAAAATAATTGTTTTTTCAACTATTTTTCTTACTTATCATTGTTGCTCTTAATCATTAATTAGTTCACGACTATAATCTAATTTTTTTATAAGGGTATTTTAATAAAGTATTTTTCATCAAAGTAATCAATGATTTTAACGAAAGAGTAATATTTTGAGACAAGAAATACTTTTTTACTTACAGAATTTTAAAATAGAAAATATGTTATGCATAAATTCTTAATCTTCTTTTACTGTGCATCCCTGCAGCTTGGTAATTATTGTTCCTTTGAGGGTGTCCTATACTGTAAGCCCCATTTTGATCAACTGTTTAAGATGACTGGCAGCTTGGACAAAAGTTTTGAAGGTGAATTAATGTTTTATATGCACTTATTTCTTAAAATTAATAACTTTTTTTGGTCCTAACAATATACACTCGTTTCTGGTTATTGTTTCCTTCTTTCATCTGTCTGTTGTATTTATTCTTGCAGGTATTCCAAGAATTGCCAGAGTTGAAAGATCTGCTGATCAGGTTTTTACACACTCTTAATACACCCAAAAAAAAAAAAATCTTTCTATCCTTAGGATTCTTATTTAGGGATTGTATATAAATGCATTTGCTAAAAAAAAATAATAATTCCCTCTGTATTGTCTCTGGGCATTTCACAGGTCCAAACCAACAAGGTTTCAAGGTTGTTTTCTGGAACTCAGGAAAAGTGTGTTGGTTGCAAGAAAACAGTGTACCCAATTGAAAAGGTATATAATCTTGTTAGAAATCTTCACAGCTTCTCAGTGGTAAAAATTTCCCTTAAACAAGTGTCTTCAGAAATGAACAATTAAGAATCTATGTACTTAAATTTAGTAGATTAATTTCATTATAGGCCTTAAATTAAATTAGCAGTTGATGCATTCTTAGTGCTTATTTTTAAAAGTAATTTCGCTTTGGAAGATGATTATCCTAGTTATTTTTCTTGAGAAGTTACCTTTTATTTTTAAAACTAAATTACTATATACATTGCACCAAGGATCCCTGTATTCTTTCGTAAAATTTTAGACCTTTACACACAATAACCTATGTTAGCTTAACTTAATATTATTAAACATGGAGGTAGTACCAGAAACAGAAATATAACTTAAACCATGATACAGAGAGCCTTTGGAATAAGCAATAGTTTGGAATTTACAGTGTATCTTTCTAATGTATGAGCAAGTACACAAATATCACGCTAGTTATTGGTATGAAAATAGACTTTAAAAACCTGGTTTGAAGATTTAAAAAATATAATTAAAAAATTTATAATTTAAATTAAATCATATTTATTTTTGTTTCACCTATTTAGATCATAGGTTATAAAGGTTTAGATTAGACTAGATGAATTATTTTATAGAATAATAATAATTTTTTAAATATAAATAAAAGTAATATTATTATATTAAATAATATATGGATTATAAAATAATCTAATAAGAAATTCATATATTCTAAAAGTAAATATATGTATTTAAATATTTTTTTAAAATTAACTATTTTTATATAGTTACGTTTATCATTTTTGTTAAATTTCAATTAGACTAAAATTAGTCTAATATTCTGTTTAAATTAAAGAAAAAAATTTGACTTATTTAAAATTATAGGATAAGTTGAATTATCAATTTTTTTTTCTTGTAAGATTAGAGTGGGATAAACTGTTCGATTTACCAGCTTTAATTTTATGTATATCTTATTTTTATGTTTTTTTTAAAGGAAGTGCTAAACAAAATAAAAATAATGTAAAAAATTTATAACATATTTGTAATAACTAGTAAAATATAATAAGCTATAGTGAAAACAGAATCATGGTATCCTGTGACGGATCCAGGATCCTGACTTAGTGGAGTTGATTTATTTACAAATAATAATTAATCATCATACATATAAAATGTTAAAATCATAAAACTTTAAAACGTCTAATAAAATAAAATGAATATTTTGAAATTGAAACAGAAACTTAGAAGACAGTGGATTCAAATAAAATATATAAAATTAGAGAAGATAAAATACAAAAATTGAAGATATTTATTTATAATTTTATGAAAGTCAAATGCACCATAGATAGGTCTGCTACTTGGTATCCCTAGATATAACCCAAAAAAAGTGACCATAAACAGCAGAATGAAAAACTCAGTGTAAACTACCTTAAACTAGATCTGCTAAGATCATTAAAAATACATCATGTGTTTGACTGATGCACGGTTCTTTCTTCAGGTGGGTGTTGATGGGAAATGTTACCACAAGTCTTGTTTCAGATGCACCCATGGAGGTTGTGTAATCAGCCCATCAAATTATGTTGCCCATGAACATCGTCTTTATTGCAGACACCACCATACTCAGCTCTTTAAGCAAAAGGGCAACTTCAGTCAATTAGTCAACCATGAAAATCTCCAACTCATCTCTGAAAGCACCACACAACATCCAAGTAATGGTAGCACAAGTCCAGCTCATAAATCTTCTTAAGCTTCATCAAGTGGCACTGTTACAGTGCCAAGTTCTGTTTGTTTCACTATTTATGTTATTATATTTGTAAGCCAAGCTTGTAACCAGAACTTTAATTTTCCTTTTTTTATGGATTATTTTTGTTATTTAGAATAGAGATGTAATTCATATATATATATATATATATTGGTCAATTATTTCAATTAAAATCCTGTTGCTGGCCGTTTAGGACATTTACTAAGAATACTTGAAGAAACTTATTTTGAATACTGTTACAAAAGAATGATGGAAAATAAAATTAAATCAACCTTTTCTGGTAGGTTAAAATTAATTTAGTATTTTTTTTTTTACAAAATTTAGTTTTTCACTCATACATAAATTATTTTTAATTAAAGAAAGAATTTGTTCAAACTGACAAATTAGCATTCAAATTTTTATCATCAAGGTCTTCACAATTAATATGTCTCTTTGTCTTAAATATGATTATATGTGTGTGTGTGTGGTACAATCAAATTTAGTCTTTGGCAAATATCCAGGTTTTCATTTTAAGATTTTCAAGACTTGTATAGCTTAGTTTTTGTGCGAGTTGTAAACATGTTCATGGCCGAGTAATCCGGAACTACTCTTGTTGCCCTGTGTCTGAGGGATTTGTTCCCAAGACAAAGATTATAAACACTTTTCTTATTAATTCGATTATTTGGTGCAGCCCCGAAAAGGCTCCAATAATGCATGGCATGCAAGCTAACTTCATCACCAATTACTTTTGGCAAGAGATACATGTCACTTGGAGAGAAAAAATAAAATAAAAAATCTAAAAATCACACATTATCAGTCAAACTTTGAAGGCGGTTTCTTAGTTTGTTCACTAGCTGTTTGTTTCTGCTGTTCAATTATGATTGGTCACTTTCTATACATGTACACTTGCAGTCTAAGAAATGTTTGGTTGAATTTGCTTCCAACAAAGAGTAACATCCGTTTGAAACCCATAATTTAAAAGATAATACATAAAAAAAGAGACAAAATAGACATCCACTCCCTCTTTTTCAGGTATGTATATCGCATACATGCATCATCTCTAGCCAGTATTCTCGTAGAACTGTGCTGTGAAAGAGATAATACAAACTAATGACCCAAACATACATAGCTGCAATCTGGAAAGAGAAAGGGCACGTTTTGCTGGAATATCTATGCGTATCCTCCATGATTGTTCATCATAGCGAAGGGAAATAAAGTGAGAGAAAAAAATAGACAAACAAAAAGCAAGAAAGAAAGAATGCAGTGGCTCATGTTATGGATTTTTTAAACACTGGGAAAGCACTTTGGAAGAAAAGTTAAAGAAGTCTAATATTGGTGGGCCGTGTGGAAGGAATTCTATGTAGTCTATGATGGAATCTTGAGACCCCTCGTGCAGTGCAACTAAATTTCATGCGTAGGAAGTGCACGAGTGGTGAGCTGGTTGCAATTGTCCTATTCTATAGTTTTTCTTTCTTGTTTTTTTAATCCTTGTTGATGCAAAATCTTTAAGTAAGGGAAAGAAAACAATTAAAAAGGACAAAGCAAAATAAAGGGTCTTTTGCTTTACTAGCAATAGACAGAGAGAAAGTATAAGGGCGAATAATGCAATGGGCCACTAGAAAAAATTCTTCTGCTTCTGATGCAACAAAAAATATCCCTGGGGTGTCATAGATGTCTAAAGTGATAAACTGCACAGCCACATTGATTGCAAGTGTGTTAAAGTAAACCTTGTGTTGTGTCACATCTTCCTTCTCCTCACCCCCTTTTACTTTTCATTTCGACTCCACACATTGTTTATCTTACTACAACCTTCTTCATACCCATCAAGGGTTGTTCTTCATTTTTAAATTGCGCAAGTGGTTGGTTGAAGACAACCAAGCTCTTGCCCCATCTCATAACTATTTCTCCATACACTGCTACTGTTCAAATATGGTGTACTTCTTCTGTGACATGCCTCGTGTAGGTTTTTGTTTATTGAATATGACAATTGCAGTTAAGCTTCAACTGACACAAATAGAAACAGTAACCGTACATAAAAATTCTTAAAATGTTTTTCACTCATTCGTCTACGCATAAATTATAAGTTTCACCTTCTACAAATTAAACTCATGATAATAAAATGGAATCATCCCCTCACTACTTTTGGTAATTGGTGGAGTAAATAGATCAGAAGGTTTGCAAATAAAATGATAAGGACAAAGTTTTGTGTCAAATGATATGGCGTGCTTTGTTGCCTTGCCACATTCAAAAATTTCTGTTATATATTTAACAGGTCATAGATCTAGAGAAATAACCAAACTCTAAGTACTTTAAACATTAACCTTACATATTTTGTAACACCCCTCCTCTCCAAAGAAAACATTCTGGTGGCCAACTTGTTCTTTTATTGAAATTAAGAAGAGAAGATGAGAGAGATCAGCCAAAGACAGATCAGAGAACTTGCCCATGTTCTAGCAGTTAGCTACCCTTAAGCCTTGAAATATAAAGCTACAAATTTATTTTCTAACCATGATTTTGCCTTAAGCCTTGTTTGACAGTACTCACAACTATATCATTTTTTTCTGTTTGTTCAATTTATGGCTATATATTTTGATCTTTGGTAATTATCTGTTTGATGATGATGTACAAAAAAAAAAACAAGAATAACGGTGAACTTATTATTATGATGAAGGATGATTTCACTAAAAAGTAAGATCTGAATACATTAATTGATGTTCAATATGTCAACCTTTACTATACACAATTATTATGCATGAACCCAGTTGCTGAACCGAAGGGAATTTTATCATCTCTCAGTTTTCTCTGGCTTCCCTGAATGTACTATATTTAATTTAATTTAATTTCCACAGATCCAAGCAATCATGGAGAAGGATTGATTAATTTGTTTTTGGTGGTTTGAGTGTCGCTCAATGCTCCTCTGTCCCTCACATCACATGTGGGAAAGATTGAAAACACATATCAGCTGGCTGACTCTGAGATGCTTTGTAAAGAGGGTTGCCATGTTCTTGACTTAGCTGTGGCACTAGAAGCATTATTACTTGATGTTGTCCTTGACCCGTGTCTTTCACCTTTGGTTTCCTGAAAATTATAATTAAAAATTAAGAATCACATCGGTGAAACCACCACATACATATGAGCTTTAAACATATCTCTCTCTCCATTTCCTTTCTTCGATAAAATCCACTAATATAATTCCTTGCAATTCAACTAAAAAAATCAAATTTTTCCTTGGTTCACGTAAGGTTTCTTAATTCTATACAAGTCACCAGAGAGCAAAGCCTTAATTAGTTAGTAGAAATACGTTTGAATCAATTTCCAAAACCAATCCTTCTAACAAACACACCAGCAATTATTTACTGTTGATATAAGAAGATGTTGCTTGACGAAAAAATGGTTGTCAAGAAGCACAAATACTACCCCAGGCACCTGTTTTTTAAGATTTAATATGATAATCATAAACAAGTAGGGAAGTAGAAACAGTAAAAACAAAACTTTGATTGAGATTTACCTGGTTGTCCTCCGGCTCAGACCTCCTTGCTGATTTGTCTGTCCTTTCCTTCATCAGATTTGGCTTTTGTGCTGATTCTGATACGTTTCTCTTCAGTTTTGCTTGTTTCTTTGCCCAAAGACCCTTCATAACCTCTGAGAAACACCACTTAAAGGTTCAAATTTGGAACAAAGCATAAACAATTTAAGGGGAAACAACAACATAAAACAGTTTAAAAAAAGCAAAGGGTCAAACTCAAAACTCAAGCTGAAAGTTGGAACTAACCTTGAGCCGAGATTAGTCTATAAACTTGGCCAAGCATAAGGGTGTCTGTTGGCTTGAGAAGCTTGATGCGGGTAAGGCGAACAGGGTTGGTGGTGTTGGTGTTTTCACTCTTATTTTGGCAAATTTCATTGTCCTTGGATGAGCACAATGTGGTGGAGATAAGAAGAGCAACATAGTGATCAGGGTTGGTCTTCATCACTTCACTAGCACTCACAGGCCAATACAACCTTTCTACTTTCCCATTGGGTTGTTGTATCACTAGAGTTGCAGTGTCAACGGCTTGGCAATTTCCCATCTCTAACTCTCACAAACAGAACAAAAAGAGGATGACAGGAACGGAAGGTGGTGGAAGGGAAGGGAGGAGTGTGGAAGTACCTCACTACAATATTTATAGAGGCCACAAGTTCGGAAGGGGCAAACAAAGTGATATACAAGGAGGCCTATAAATACTGGTTGGTAAAATGGCAAGGCCTTTTTGGTGGTAGAGTTGGAAAGTGTATGGCAATGATAATGATAATATGTGGATTAAAAAATAGCAGTAGAAAGATAGATTTTGGGAAAAAGAATGAATGAATGAATGAATGGAATGGAACCCAAAATGGGGTGCGGGAAATAAGAGGAAAGATGAAAGAGAAATGGTGAAAGTGTTATCCAAACATGGATGGAGGTGTGAGGAAACAGACTAAAGTAGAAGGGGACCTTGGCAGCTTAGGTGATGTGATGTGCTCCTCTAACACGTTACATTCTCGTGGTCTACCTTCTTAGGGTAATCTAATGGAAAACCCTATCTCACTGTTCATAAGGTAATTCTTCCCATTCCTGTCACCACTTACCCTTACACAATACACCCCTACTTCATAGGGTATAAACTTTTCCATTCGACGTTTTAGATTTCAGAACTCCCACGTTGACGCAAGAATAGTGGCCATTAAAGTAATACCTATGGTGCATGCAAAAACACACAAGTTTTGTATATAAATCATATGCATGATTTTTATAATAAGTTCTTTAATTTTCTTTTCCTTTCACGTTTTTCTAAACTAGACAAGTACACATTTTTAATCTATTACTTTCTTCAGACCATACATGGGCATTTTTAAAAATTCAATCAACAGTGTAATATAATGCCTTTTCGTTTTCATAGAAGTTTGAATTTTTCGTTGAATAATAGTAAATCGGCATTACACATTATGAGTATGAGCTTGTAAAATATAAGGCAAGTCCTGATGAGATAATAAGTATTATTTTAAACATTTTAAGAGTTTAATTTGTGGCTGTCAAAATTTGAAATAAAGTTAATCAATCAAAAATTATTTTAGATATGACTTTTAAAATATCTAACAAAAATCCAAAAGTAAATGATCTATTATTAGACAAGAGTATAAAAAAGATGATACTATCCAATAAAATATATACTTAACTTAGATAATAAATATCAGTTTTATGGATCAAGAAACATGTCTTGAGATAAATTTTTCACTTGTTTATAAGCGAGGATGGTGAAGATGAGATTGGAAAGCTTATGTGAGGACCATTAGTTGTTGTTTTCATGCCTAATTCTTTTGAATGTGATAGAAAATCATGTTGTGTTGGGTAGTAACTTGCAAACGTGACGCATTTTACCATGTTTTTGAGAAGAGGCAATGGTCAAATATCATGGCATCACCAACTTTTATTCTACAACTAGAAGGTTCTCAAATCAATGATGAAGAACTGCAGGTGAGAAATATCAAGATCACCTTTTGCTAACCGCAGTTAAGTTGAATTCATATTTTTTTTTGGCCTCAATTGAGTTGAGAACAACTATAAAAGTAAAAGATATATATAAAAAAAACGTACTTTTTGTTATATACCATGCGTCCTTGAACCGATAACCATCTTTCGGCTAACCTAGCCTCCTCCGTCCCTCGGGACCAACAAAGGGTAGTACAGGAATATTCACCTGTTGTCCATCGACTACGCCTTTCGGCCTGATCTTAGGCCCTGACTCACCCTCCGTGGACGAACCTTGCGGAGGAACCCTTGGGTTTTCGAGGCATTGGATTCTCACCAACGTTTGCGTTACTCAGCCGACATTCTCGCTTCCGCTTCGTCCAGCATCTGCTCGCGCGGGTCCTTGGGGGAAATTATAATAAATTACCTCTTATTTACTTATGAATATAAATGCTTTTCATATTTAATGCGAATTGTCTTGTAAAATTTTCATAAAAATGTTATATGAAATCAGTTTCTTACGTAGTTTTATGTGAACTGTATAAGTTTTAAAAAGTACAGAAAAAGTTTCCCAAATATATTAAAAAAATAAAAAATTAGTAGTGTTTGTCACTCATTTTTTCTTTGAATCATCCAGATGGAGAATAATTTTTCATTTTTTATTAATCAATGGACAATGTTTCTATATTATAAATGTGTATGTTTCGTGTAGCTTTTTTTTTTTTTTAATTGGTAGAATCTCGTGAATACATAAATAAATTTAAGTATTGATATTTTAGGAAAGACGAAATTAAGAATGAATTGCACGTATAAAAATGTATTATGTATACAAAAACCAAATTAAAAATATATTGTTATTTTGGTAGACGGTTATTTGTTTCATAATTATTTTATCCTAAAAATTAAAGAAGGATGGTTAAAAAAATGACGTTGAAAGTCTGAATATTAGACAGTAATCGACGTAGAAAGTCTTTTTATTGACACATTCAATATCGGTTCCCGGATGAACCGAGCGTGGAAAATGTTTTTCGGAAAGTATTTTTATTTTTCAGCCAAAAATTTTCTGTGTAAAAATATATCCGTATAAATATATATTTATTTGTATATATTTTCTGGAAAGTATTTTTATTTTTATTTTTCAGCCAAAAATTTACTTAAATTAGAAAATTATAACTGACGTGATTCGAACCTAATATTTTAGAGTTGAAAGCTCGATACTCCAACCACTAAACTACTATAATTTTTTAATAATAATTTACAAATAAATTATATTTATATACAAATAAATATATATCCGTGTAAATATATAAATATAAAATATATAAATACAAATATATTTATATATTTTGATATATTTATATATATTTATATGTTGGATGTGAGGGTGAGCTCGAGGGTGAAAGTGAGATTAACTCTCGCTTGAGTGAAAATACGTTAAAACTCACGGAAATTCACTCGCTCGCTCAAGCCTAGCTTGAGCGAAAATTGGTATTTTTCGCTTGAGCGAATAACGCGTTTCCCAAATTTATTTTATATCATTATATAAATAAATTATAAATATTATATTCTATCATTAAATTACAAACTCATATAAAGATATTCGCTCACAAATTTGGCATCAAATATTTTAAAAACCCATAGGACACACACTCTCACGATGGTCAGGATTTTTTTCAACAAATAATATTTTTGAATTGTATAACAATCTATTTTATGAGAGTCTTACAAATTTTCAATTAAAACTAGTTTTTTTGCATTTCCATATACTTTTTTTTATTATTGCTTTGATTTCAGTGTATTGCTTTGATTTATATAATGACAGGAAATGCCTAGTTTCTTAGTGATTATAATATTAAATAACAATCATATGCCTACAGATTTTTAATTTGAAAACATGAGAAATTATTAATATAGAATTAATAAAATTATTACGATCTTTATGCCAATATTAGTTTTTTTTGAAAAAAAAAGTTATTTATTTTTTTAGTGAATAAAATAAATTATATATAAATATGTACCTATCTATACAAATTTAATAGATAGAAGAGCTGAACAAAATATATTAAAAATACTATTTTATATTATTATTATGAATTATTTTTATTTTATTATAATATTTTATTTTAGTTATTTATTATATTGGTTTATTGTTATTTTTTTAATATTATAAAAATTTAATTATGGAGTAAAACATTTTTAATAACTTATTTTAAAATATATCATTATCTTAGTTGATTTGAGAATCGAATATTTTACGGTGGAACTCTATGTTAGTGGAGATGGAACCGACGTTGTATCGGTGAACGTTCGGTTAAATAGAACCGATGTTGAAAGTCTGATTTTTCAAATTAAATTTTTTTATTTATTTCTAACCTTTCCAACCCCTCTATTTATCTAGAAATCCCCCTCTCTTTTATATTATATTTTTATTAGGTCCCTCTCTCTTTTATATTATATTTTTATTATTTATCATATTTTTTTTTAAGTTTAAAGCATTACCAAATTATTTTTTGTCATCGACGAGATTCGAACTCGAGTACCTTAGTGTTGGAGGCTGATACTCCAACCACTAAACTACTCGAATTTTTTGATAGTAAGTTACAAATAAATTATATTTATATACAAATAAATATATATCCATGTAAATATATAAATACAAATATATTTATATATTTTGATATATTTATATAATTAGCTCATTCGCTCAAGTGACACATTCGCTCAAGTGACAAATATATTTATATAAATATATTTGTATTTATATATTTATACGGAATATATATTTATTTGTATATAAATATAATTTATTTGTAAATTATTATCAAAATATTATAGTAGTTTAGTGGTTGGAGTATTAATTTTCAACTCTAAAATACTATATTCGAATCCTATCGATGACAATTCTCTAACTTAAGTGAATTTTTTATGAAAAAATAAAAACACTTTCCAGAAAATATATATAAATAAATATATATTTACACGGATATATATTTATTTGTATATAAATATAATTTATCCGTAAGTTATTATCGGAAAATTACAGTAGTTTAGTGGTTGGAGTATTAGCTTTCAATTCTAAAATACTAGGTTCGAATCTCGTCGGTGACAATTCTTTAACTTAAGTGAATTTTTGGTTGAAAAAAATAAAAACACTTTCCAGAAAATATAAATAAATATATATTTATACGGAGTATATATTTATTTGTATATAAATATAATTAATTTGTAAGTTATTATTAGAAAATTACGGTAGTTTAGTGGTTGGAGTATCAACTTTCAACTTTAAAGACTGGGTTCGAATCCTGCCAAGTGATAATTCTCTAACTTAAAAGAATTTTTTGTGAAAACACATTCAACGTCGGTTCATCCGAACCGAAGCGTTGAAAGATGCATTTAACGTCGGCTCAGCTTTAACCGAGCGTTAAATGACGACGTTGAAAACATATTTTATAGTAGTGTGTCTTACCCATTTTTGATAGGAACAGAATATATATATAAAAGAATTCTTTAAAAAATACAGAATAATACTTATATAATAAGTAAGAAATAATAATTAATTTTCATTAACCATTATTATACTTAATAAGTTAAGGTAACTAGCTTATTAATCAATTATCTTTGTTAAAAGAAATAAATAAATAAAATTTATTAATTTAGTGAAACCTTATTTAGCGTAAGTTTGTTAGATGATAGGCTGGCACTGGCACATCTGTTCTCTCATGACTATGCCAATAAGATCAACTCACCATTATTATTATTTATCTCTATTCTCCTAAAACAAATATTATTAAGGTTTTGTAAACAGTTTATTGATTTTAATTAGTTAGAAATTTTTAATATTTGATGCTATTAAAAATATTCATTTTGGTTTTCTCAAATAAATGTTAAGTAGGTCCATAAATATTAATTTTTGATAATTAGTATAATGTCCAAGTATATACTGGATAAAGATAAGATGGATTGTGATGATAGGAGACAAAAATAATGAGAGTGGAAGTTGATAGTGAAAAGGTGTGTGATTGGAGATGGGTTCGTTAGATAATAATAGATCGTTGTCATGTATTATATAAGAGTTAAGGTTAAGTATATATAATCTTTAAAAAAAAAAAACAATAGTTTATATATAAAATAAGAGACAGAAATATGATTGTTTTAAAATAAAAGAATAAAATATGAAAGATAAGAGAAGAAGAAATAGGGCAATGGTACGTTGAGATGCATGGAAAATTGAATGTTGTGCATGATACTTCTCCATCGTACCAGAATGAGAATGTGCATAATCACTAGACTAAAGTAGATAAAAGATACTAATTTGAAAAAGAGGACACACACATACACATTAGTAGCTCCAGTAATAAAGAATTGTAGTGCCTTTCATTTTCAGCTGGAGGATGAAAGTCCCAACTTTCCTCTCCCATTATTTTGATGCCATGGACCACATAAGATAGATACAACCCATGAGGTGGGTTTCTTTGCTTCTCGCATCTTAAATTATCTTCTCATTTTCTCTATTTTGTTTTTATTTTAATCAAAAATTACTTTTTCTTTTTAAATTAAAACTTTTTTATAAAAGAACTATATCATTTTTTTATTAGTGTTAATCTGAAATAAATTATTATTTGTTTATATTTTTGTAAAAAATATATATATAAAATTCGGCTAATTATTTAGTTTGGGTGCGTGAGTGAGTGGTGTAGAATGAATGAATCAACAATTCACAAATTTCTCACTCACGCCAAAGATAGCGCGTGTGACTGTGGGCGGGAATATTTAATAGAGAGAGAAATTTTGATCTTTCAAGGGAGTTTCCTCGAAGATTAAAAAGTTAATACTTTTATATAATAATATATATACACGAGTAAATAATATACAATGTAAAGAGTATCTTTCAATTACAAATCATGATACATGACACGTATTCGTAGGTTTTAGTTTCCGTATGCTTTCTATGAGATCAATTTCAGAATATTTATGTGTTTTTTGGATTAAGACTACACAGATTTTTCTCAGTTTGGACTTGTCATTCTTTTTCTTTAAATTTTCTTAGGACAAAGTTAATAAAGTTATTCAATTTTATAATAAATATGAGGACCAATTTAGTAAACAAGTGATTTAACTTAATCTTGTAAAATATAGTTCGTATTCACTTTTTAAAATGGTAAGATAAAATAGTAGTTTTATAAATAAATTTTCGTATTAACTTTTTTTTAAGGAGTTGAGTTTAATTTACATACAAGTTCATTTTAGTTTACATAAAAATTGAATTTTTTTCTTCTTTTATATGTTTTTCTTTAGAAAAAAATATTAAAAGAATTTTTAAATGTTTAAGAAAAGTTATGAAAAATGTCTTATAATTAGTATAGATGAATTTATGAGTGACTTGTTGACATGATGCGTGAGTAACCACATATATTCTCTTTGTTTGTTTCGATTCAAATCAATGTTAGATCAAGTTCATAAAATATTTTAGTTTTTTTTTTCTTTAAAGCTTATTAAGATGCTTTATGATAATGTTAATGAAAAATTTACAAAAACTCACTTACAAATCATAAGGACAAAAAAAAATCGTAGCTATTTATTTTCCATTTTTTAATTATATATTTTATTTGTTTATTATTCTTCATCCAAGTTGATATAAATATCAACTTATACACAAAATAATTATAATTATTTTATTTCCAATTTTTTTATATGTTTTCTTCTATTTCAGTGAAAAGGTAATTTTATTAATACGATTATATTTGTAGTTCGCTATTAATTTCTTTTAATATCTCTGAACTTTTTGTTTGCTTCTTCCATGTGTGCTGTCTTTCTTTTAATAATGATATACTAATTTTAGGCTTCACTTTCAAATATTAATATTTTGTTTTTGATTCTTCAAGTTTTAATTATGTGTATAGAGTCTTTTTAAGTATTGTATAATTGTGTAGTCTTCATCTATCCATCACTTTCCTATTAAATATTCGATATATTTTATCCATGTAATAATAACACATTAATATCATGTTACCTTAGAATATTGACTCATAAAGAACTTTAAAATAAAATTAAGATCATAGTTACATAATTGTAATACTTGAATAATCCAATTTACACAACTGGAACATAGAGAAATAAAATCATACAATTACAATAAATCAGAGGCCAAAAGTAAAATTAAAATTTTATATACTTTTATTTCTTTATGCATGTTAATACTGGAAAATTTAAACTTAACATAATGATTTTATTATATATTATTTTAATTTTAGCACCTTAATTATGTTTGACAATGTTTTGATCATTAAATGTTTTAAAATTTAAATAAAAGATAAATCGTCACCAGTGATTTAAATTTTTAATATTTTTTGTGATATATAACAATATATATTAATTATTTAATCATGATTTAATTTTAAAAATAAGAAAACATCTTATAGGTATTTATGTGACGATAAAGCTAGTATTTAAAATTGTACTTCCGACAACATATTCAACACACAAATAACCTATAAAACGTCAAATCCATACACAATAAAAAGTTATTATTTATAATTAAACTATTTTTTCCGAAAGTTCCAAGGTGCTATCTTTTTGGTTCGTTGTAGAGCTTGACCAACCCACGTAGACAGGTTTGTCTTTTACTTGGAATGCGTTGGCATTAGGCAAGAAGAAGCGTCCGATTATGAAATGGTCCCGTCCTAATTGGGCTTTCCATTAAGGCCCACCAATTCACCCCTCACCTACCATTTAACCCCTCCATGAACACTTTATTTTTCTTTACAATATTTATTCGTTAAATTAAATTACTATTCCTCTTTTTATTAATTAATTAAATAAATATTCGAACGTTGTGTAGCTAGAAAAACGTGGTTGAAAGAGAGACAGCACAAAACTAGTACGAGTGTTTTTTTTCAACTAGATATCACGACTTTGGCTAATTTTTTTCCTTTATAAAACATAAAAATAAATAATTATTTATATAAATATATTATTTAAATATGATTCATCTCAAAACTTAGGATTGACTCCTTATATATGTTTCTCATTAACCTCAAACTCTGGAATCAAGTTTATATTACAGTTGCTCAATCTAAATCTAGCAAGGGCAGCTAGATGTAATATTAAGCGAATCCCCCACCTCTACTTTTATAATTAACATGTTCCAATTTTTATTGATTCTGCTAATGCTATGAGAATGATATGGTAATAGTCCCCAGTGTATGAAATAAAGATTATAAAAATGAACATACATAATGAAAGATAAACAAAATGTGCATTTTACTCCCAATTCAGCATTTACAGAATGAAAAGCAATAGAACAAATGTTTTAGAATATTCTATAGCAAAAGAGGACTTCATATAGCTATAACCTGTAATAAGATCCAACTCATATTAGCACAAGTCAAACCAAGACCTTTCAGAGACTCTAGTTCAGCTGCACAGTTAAACAGATGGGAAGTATTTGTTTAGGTTGAAAGGCAATGAATAAAACTCCTCACTTCGTGTGTCAGTCTTGAAGGAGCGGTACTTGTCCCACCAATGTTTTCCTCTGTCTTTTCGAATAGCACCTTCCTTCTTATGTATTGTGTTATCAAGGAAATATGCAATACAACCCGCAACGAATGCCTTTGATTGGAACGGGACGTTGATTATATCATTGAACTGCAAGGTACAGAAAATTGTCAGCGAACCGTGACAAAAGCTAAGAACAAATCCAAGGTTTTACACATCACATCCATAGATTAGTTCCAGTTCCGTACCCATCTTGCTTTGGTGTGAACTGGACCATAACCATTAATTGCTGTGTACTCGTTGAAGTACTGTGAAACAGACAGGCCAATGAAGATGGAGAAGCCTAATACAAACTTTGTTCTAAAACTGTTGAGGTTGCAGAATTGAAGAAAACTTAGACCTCCCGCTCCTACAAATAATGAATGAAAGAGGAACATTATATGTTGTTTAATGCAAGTATCGAAGTAAACTAAAAGTTTGAATGTATCATATGAGTATATCTTGAATGAGGCATACCAACATAAGCGAAGAACAAGCAGTACAGTGCAGCAACAATAGTAGGTGGAATGGATGCAAAAACAGCTCCAAATTTACCTACCCGGTACAGAAAAATTAGCAAGAGTGTTGAAGAGAATAAAGGAGGAATGGTAGGATAAAGCAAACCACTTGGTCAAATTACAAGTACTGTACTGAACTTCATCTTGAACTCACCAAGAATTGAAAAGAAAATCATAAAACCCGCCGATATTTGCACCACCCTTCGACTGCCTACACGGGTTAAAGCCAAAAGACCGGCATTTTCTCTATATAAAAACCAAGCAAAGACCTCATCAACAAGAAAGTTGTTTACTCTAAATTGAAGTGGCGTATATAAAACGAATGATTTTAGTCTTACACAGATACAGAGGATCCATTGCCCGTTCCAAACAATCCTGATAACAAGATGGCAACTCCCTGAACATAAGAAATATGATGCATAATCATCAGTATTATCAATTCACTTTAGACTACCAATAATGACAAGGATTCAATTTAAATCAAGTTCCTTGTATCTTAGTCATCAATAATCAAATAATGACGTCTGACTATTGATTCCCTATTAGGAAACATTTAATGGAGGCAAAACAATTTTGAAAAATACATACAGGTGTCATGATTTAAGTTTGGTTTTATAAATGTAAAAAAAAAAAAATGCAGGCGTGATTGCTAATTTTGTACCTGCCAACCGATGCCACGACTAAGAATAGATGGTGGTAATGGTGTTGCACTTGCATACCGATAGACAGCAATAAAAGCACCACTGGACTGCTTGCAACAAATAATTCGTGAATATATAAATTAATTCTACTGAAGCTGTACTATTCAATGTAAACTAGCAATTGTATAACACTAACTGAGACTTAGTGCATTTGTATAGATTAGAAGCCAGATAATCTCGGTTAGTATGCCTGTAGGAGCACTGCCATATGCCAGACTAAATTTTAATGGATTATGTATCAATCATTACTGTTTCTCTAAAGTGATTTGGCATAAAAAAAGGTCAAAATTATTGCACTGGTAGAACATAGCTGATAATCTAAGGAAAGAGAAATTAGATCAATCTCCCTCCTTTTGGTTACACGTATAATTCTTCCAGATATTCATTGACATACCAAACGCAGTCTCCAACCTAATTTAGCGTTACTTGTGTAGTGATCATTTTCATATCGTTGCTAAGGTTTCCTTATAAAGCCATTATATACATTAAGTGATTTTTTAGTCATTGAGTGGTTACTAGAATCAATATGGTTCCCAATTTTTAATAGCCATCAAGAAAACAAAAACAGCTAGTTTTTACACATGCATTCTGCCAAGCTACTAATAAAATTTCACAAGGTTAAAATCCAGACTTCAGTACTACATGCTTCTTCTAAGGAGGACAAGGAAAATAATCAATCATGAAACTGAACAACTAGATTTGTAACACTTATTTTAAGAAATCGGGAAAATTTCTCCAAAGGTCAATTATCTTCAAGAAAAATAAGAGTTCCTAGATATCTGGCTGCAAATCTCTTATATATAATACCCACAAGAGGCAGGAAATAACAGATATGGAAGCTAATAGGATAAATATTTATTACATAAGAAGAACGATACCAAATAATAAATAAAAGGAATTCTTATTCCAATTTAAATATAGATAGAAAAGATCTACAAAAAGAAATTACCTCTACAAGGGCAACAAAGGATGCCATCATCATGGCAAAGGCTTCACCTGCATCAAATGTAGGTGCTCCCCATTGAAATGGATATGGAACTCGTATCCTGCAAACCCAAAAAACATGTTGAATACTTCCCCATAAATAGCTTCCCGAAAAAGGACAAAGATGACAAATAGTCTGAATAGCCCAGCATATAGAAGTAGCTTCTCCTCCAATGGATATCAACAGATGGGTTTGGGAAGAAAACTCCATACAAAATTTAGCAACAGATAAGAAAAAAAAAAAAGGTATCATATGGCTAAATCAAATTCAAAGCATTTTCAGGTTCTTCTTATATGAAACTCAGATGTGAAAATTCACAGATTCCACTACTAAGAGGAATCTCCCCAGTTAACCACTAGTCCAAAAGGCACCACTTATAAAAATATAATATACTTAAATGGAAATCACAAGATAAATACCCATAAACTCTATCCGCAGAAGGCACATTTTTAAATTTTATGAAGCAATCACATGAACAGAAAATGTTAAAGTGAAAAATCACACCCAAATTTGCGGATATTTTAGTAATTAAATAATCAGTTGCCAGCAAAAAAATACTATTTAGAGTAAATAATCAATGAAAATTCACTACTAACCATGGGGCAGCTTCTACTAAACCAGCACGATCAGTACGGCAGGTTGCTTGTGTTTTAGGTGCAGCATGATTGTATGCCCCTCCAACGGTGAGCAGATAAGCATATAACCACACAATTGCAACTGTAAATAAAACAGTGAACCGTTCGAAGACATGTTTTCCTGCATGAAGAACATGGGGTACAAACTGCATGAAAACCAATAACTGTTATTATAAAAGATTCATAGAAGATATCATACCATAAAAGTAAGGAAATCAAGAGAACAAATGAACTGAGATCATGATGCTAAGAATTTTTTATACTATAAAGAACTCTACCTGTGAAACAAATACTAGTAATATGAGCTCAGGCAGTCCAATCTCTATACATTTAGCAACCTACACACCAGCCAGACATCAATATTTATATTAGCTTTGAACCCAAGCAATTTAATATGTACTTACCCCAGGAAAGCCTAGCTCGTAAAGCCCAAAGCCAACAAGAGATACCAAAGGAACTGCTGAAAGTGGACTTAAAAACCTGAAAAAGAAGTTGAACTTACATCACTTGGAATATTACACACAATTGTAGGAATATCAAGTTCTTTTGATCGCTTTACTTCACTGGCACTACGTTGTTCATACAAATTCCATCGCACAAATCACTCAAGCGTGTCAGTATAATTTGTACTTCAAACAAAAAATCAATCAGAGTAGCAACTGTCAATGGGCATATATGGCAAAGACGACCCTAAAAATCTAGATTACATTTCTGTTTAGATATTTTTTACCATATTAGAAAACTAAGAAAATATAACACGTACACTTACTAAGGACTTAGACCAACCTTGCAACATTACGCCAGAGACCACTAAAGCCAAGTACTATTTGAAGAGTTGAAGCAACAATAAGAGCACCTTGGGTTGCCCGCATTATCCTTTTGAATCTCTGAATAGAAGAAAAATAAAGCCAAAAGGCAGAGGAAAGAAGTCATTAAACTACTCATGTACACTCAAAAAACAAAGTAGTGATCAAGCAATTCCATCAAATAAGTATCAGGATCCAATGCATATAAACCACACACAATTTATAGAAAATATCGTTTTGATACAAGACCTCTACAGGATCTGGCTCATCACTGAAACGACCAGCAAGAATAATAGAGATGGTTGTTGCAACATAAGTATAAGACCCTCCAATTACTGCAGGCAATCGAGTTCCAAACAGAGTTTGCAGCAATGTGTTAATTCCAGCTACAAAGAGTACAGTTTGAATAACTTTGGCCTTCTCCTCCTGAAAAAATGGACTTTCGATTTATTTATTTTTATAAATATAAATTATCCCATTTAAAATTGTTTCTTTTAAGTATATTTCATTTGTTGAAGCTTACATTGCCACCTCCCATCTGGGGAACTAGAGCAGTGGGAATTAGAACAGTTGTACCGAGCATCACAAGATAATGTTGAAATCCAAGAAGAATGGCCTCAGCTGCATAGGAATAGCACCAAAATTCTCATCAAATTAAAGATAAAGAAAACCACATATCTTAGTCATATTTTCAACAACATAAGGCCACTTCAATTTTTTTAAAAATCAACTACTTGATGTCAGAAATAGCATTCAATATGCCATAAAATCCACATTGTTCAATAAGTTGTTGAATGTTAACCGCATGAACGTTCTAAGATTCAATAAATAATTTTTTTTTTCAAAAAAAAAAAACGTATTATTAATCAGTAAAATATTTTAAAATTATTATAGCAGAAGCCAGAAATAGATTTTGGAAAGTACTATCTAAATTTTCTATATAAAGTACCAAACCCAGATCTGGAAATAACTGGGAATAGCCTCAATACGAATGTAGAATAAGAATAAAGTCTCGAATGGGCAAATACAAGAGGTTCAATTTAAAAGAATTTCAATCAATTCGAAGTTTGGAACTAGCCAGATAGGGTATTGATTGGTTCGAACCATGAGTGTGAGAAGTGAAAAAACTTCGGCTGCACTTTCATAAACCAGAACCCAAGTCCCCTAAACCAAAACCGTGAATTAAACAACTACAACTCATTTTTCCTTGTAACCCCTTAATTTCATCTACAAGGCTTGTTAAACATAAACTTGCAATCGGTTTAAGGATAAGTCATATTTTTCAGCAGAGTACTTTTTTTCTTTATCGTCAAAGAACCTAAAAGGAAAGAATTTACTGAAAGCAGCTTTTAATAATTAGAAAAAAAGCCAGCGCGCGCAGACAAGTAATGTCAGAATCACAAAGCATGCTTTTAAAATACATCATATTGGTAAAGATAACAGAAGAATCAGGTTCAAAGCAAGAGAACACAGAAACCGAATCTATGATCAGAGAAAACGAAAACAAAAACAAAAACTCACGCCATGGAGGAGGACTCGTAATGCAGTACGAAACATTCGGTAGCTGATCCTTCGGTGGATGTGGCTGTGGCTCATCAATCTTAGGCGCCGGAGCTCCCCCACCTCCTGGCATAACTCTCTTTCACACACTCTCAAAAACAAACTGCAAGGAACAATGAATCAAAACCCAAATCTGAAACCAAAGCTAAAAGACAGTCATAAACAAGAAAAAGAGTGAGAGACCTAACACTGAAGGTAAAGGGAAAAAATGGAGTTTGGCTACTAATAGCAGAAAATGATAGAATGAGACTGCGAGAGAGTCCCTTTGAGTAAGCAATAGTTACAACAATAATTGTGCAGTTTAAGTAAAAAAGAGAAAAATAAAAGCACCTTTTGACGGTGTTTCAGGGAGCTAAACAAGGGGACTTTAAAGTCAAAAAAACTCAGATGACCCACACCAACCAAAAACTAGATTTGAATAAAAAATGGGCCAAGAGAGTGAGAAGACTAATTAAAACGCAGACTGTGGTGTTATAGGGCAGTTCAGAGTGTGAAGTGAAACAGAGTCCAAAGACTGAGAGAGGGAAACGATAAACGCGAACAGAGGAATGAACTCAATACCCTCTCTCCGCCTTCACTTTCTATCAGATCCTAGTCTTTTTCTTTCTCTCTCTAGGCGTATGCACTGCGTGAGCACGAGTTACACAGTTCTAGTAGAATGGTATTCGTATTTTTCTTTTCTTCTCTCATATTCATATACCTCCAATTTTACTTTCCGACAAAGTTTTTGTTTTTTCATTTATATTTTTTCCCTGTTGTGGCTCGGTTGCGACAGTGGCATATGATATGACCGCCAAGTGTACGGAAAAACAAGACTCGTGGCATGATGGTAATCATTTGAGAATAATGTTCTTTATAAATTAAATGATACATGGAAAATAATAGTTAAAAATAAAGTAATGAAGTAGTATGTGATTGTGAAAAAAGGTAGATTATAGTTGTGTAGAAAAATTGAAGGTGGTTTGTGAGAAGGAAGGAGATTGAAAATGAAGAAGTAAAGTAAATAAGAAAATAGGAGTTATAAATGTTAGATGCAGTATATGAAAAAAGATGAAGAGGTGTAGGTTGAAATGTGGAATAGGAATTGACCTATAGGAGGAGGAGGATCACGTGGAGAAGGATAACCCAAAGCATTGAATGTGAAGTGAACCCACCAATGACCAAAACCAAAGCATGGAAATGGAAAGATGTAATTCAATTTTACGTTGGAAGAAAAAGAAAAAGCATTAGCAGTAACTGTGAAAGGGAAAACATGATTGAAGGGCAGAGAGAGGGCGCCGACAAATGGTATTACACTGAATCCCCCAATTTATTGACTTACAACTGGCATCTTTAACCACCATAAATAAAACTACTACTCTCTGCATCCCCAGAATAAAATGTTTTATACGCTTATTAAAAGGTTTTTAATTTCTTTTATTTTTAAAATTTAGGTGCGTTTATTTATGTAAAGGTTATTTCCTAGAAAAATATTTTAAACCAAAAGTTTAAAAGTCTGTCTTTAAAGCAGAAAAAAGTCGACCTTTGAATAAATCAATGAGGTTAAATTGGTATGAGCAAATGACCTTTAAGTCGATTACTCATAACCGTTTGATATATTGTACGATGATCGTCGATCTCATTACTCATGAATTTCGAAACAAAACCTTAATAAAGTCCAATGCAATAATAAATAGTTATAATTTTTATTTTTGAATTTCTTTCCGGGGATAAAAATCAAATATCTATTTACGGAAAATTTGATGAAACTGCAGCAAAAGTCAAACGATATAAAGAAGGGTAGAGCCAAACACTATCTTCCACAACGTAACGAGGAATCCATCATAATTAAGTTTTTGCGTTCTGCAATAGCCCACTAGCGTTAAAATTTGTTACTGTACAAGGTATCTTACACGTAAGAGCAACTCCGTTGCTTATGCCCATTCCTTATAAAACTATTGTTAGAGAAATTTAACTTGACAGCAATAATTTAAAAAAAAAAAGTTAAACATTATATGTTCTAGTGGTAACGTTCTTTTCAATAGAATTTAACAAATTAGAAAATCTAATAAATTAGAGAGAAATGTTCATAATAGATCTCATTAAAATTAAAAGTGATAATTAAATGATGAATTACTTATAAAAATCCATAATTAGAGTAAATTTATAAAATTTTAAAGAAAATTACTTAAATATAATTTTACATTATGAATCTTATTTAAAAAGTCATGGTCAATTTTTATAATAACCTTTAAGTTGATGCAGAGGGACTAGGGACACTCTCATGACCTTCGTACACAACTGTTGAAAGAAATATTACTAAACCTCATTTTGTATATTTCTTATATATTTAACTTTGTATTGATTTTAAATCTGAAACTGGTACCAAAAATATTTTTTTAAATTTTTATATTGAATTCAGAGTTAAAATAATTTTTTTTATAAACATGTAAACAGAATTTATATCATAAAATATTTTTTCAATTATCTTCCTGAAAATCTACATTGTAGCAAACAGTGGTTTACAGTGATACAGGTATATATCACTACTACAAATAAAGCTTTCAACGTCGGTTCTAGAAGGCTTTCAACGTCGGTTCTAAAAAACCGACGTTAAAGTTTTTACTTTAGATAGTGGTTCGATAGCGGTTATAAGGGAACCGCTATCTAATATAGACTTTAGATAGCGGTTATAAGGGAACCGCTATCTAATATACAGTTATAAGTCGACTTTCAACGTCGGTTTATTAGAACTGACGTTAAAAGTATGATTTTTTAAATTAATAATTTTTATTTATTTACAACCCCTTTACCCCCTTATTATTTATCTAGAAGTCTCCCCTCTCTTTATATTATATTTTTATTAGGTCCTCCATCTCTTTATATTATATTTTTTAGAAGTTTTTTAATTTTTAAGAGAATTGTCATTGGCAGGATTCGAACCCAGTACTTTAGAGTTGGAGGCTGATACTCCAACCACTAAACTACTTGAATTTTTTGATAATAACTTACAAATAAATTATATTTATATACAAATAAATATATATCCGTGTAAATTTCACTACTAGAAAAATGTCAAATAGTAACTTCGAATCTCAACCCCAGCCTCAACCTCGACGAACTCGAGGCCGAACCCCAACTCCGGCGACATCGAACCCCAATGTCAAGCCAAACCCAATTGTCATGCTGTGAAACCCAACGCAAATCCAGCGGAGCTCGAACCCTAACGCATACCCTAGTGACGTCGAACTCTAACCTCGAGCCAACCCCCACTTTAATTCGGTCGCACTTAGCGATTGATTGATTGCTCAAGGATGTGTAAAAGATGATATATTCAATGTATGTTAAAAAAGTTCAAGCCAAACTGTTTTTATAGAAGATTTTCAAAACTGCTTGGTTTAATTAATCTGTTAAAAGATTCTTTTAATCTGTTAAAAGTGCAGTTTTAATCTGTTAAAACTTCTTTTAATCCATTAATACGTTCTTGATTCTTTAACAGATTTGTTTTAACTCGATACGACAACGTTTATATCAATTAAAACACTTTACAAAAAATCTTCTAAGTTGATTTAATCGATTGTTTCGCGATTCAATCGATTGAAATACTGCAAAACTTTCTCGTGACACTTTTCAAGTAATTTTAACTGATAAAAATAAGTTTTAATCGATTAAAACGCTCGTGTAGAATCGTTTTAATCGATTGAAACGAGATTTAATCGATTAAAATAGTTCTGATCGGTCATAACTACATTCTGATCGATCATAATTGAAACAATATAATAGCGGTTCCAGGTTAACCGCTATCTAAAATGTATCTCGCTTGAGCGACACCCTTCTCGCTCGAGCGAAACGCCCCCTGCACAAAATTAGCATTCTCGGGTTGTATTTCGCTTGAGCGACACTACCCTCGCTCGAGCGAAATTAGATTCTGATCGATCATAACTTGAAATGATCGATCATAATTGAGAGGATATAATAGCGGTTCCCTTATAACCGCTATCTAAAGTGTATATTAGATAGCGGTTATAAGGGAACCGCTATCTAAAGTGCATATTAGATAGCGGTTATAAGGGAACCGCTATCTAAAGTGTATATTAGATAGCGGTTCCCTTATAACCGCTATCAGTAAGTAAAAAATAAAATAAAAAAAGACTTTCAACGTCGGTTCATATGGGAACCGACGTAGAAAGTACTTTCTACGTCGGTTGACTAAGAACCGACGTAGAATGTATTTAATATTCAATTTCAACGTCGGTTCATCTGAGAACCGACGTGGAAAGTACTTTCTACGTCGTCTCACCTATAACCGACATTAAATAACGACGTAGAAAGTATATTTTGTAGTAGTGTATCGTATAATTAATATAATAATAAATACTTAATTTTTTTATGCAAAACTTTTGTTTTCATTTATAATTATGTAATGAAGCCTTATACGATCTAGAAAAGAAAAAAGAAAAAGAAAACAAAAGAAGTAAAAGGTGATGGTGGATAAAGGAATTTTTAGCCTTTCTCTTTTTCCTTTCTTTCTCATTAGTTGTCCTTCATCTGGACTTGCATGGCGTCGCAAGAGTTTACTGTTAAGTGCGTGGCAATGTGGAAAGACATGTACGAAGCCCACTTTTTCATCGTGCCTTATTTTTATTTAATCATACCCGCCAATCAAAATAGCTTGAATTTCGGTTCCTTCTTTTTATAAATCGGATTTTAATTAAGTTTATATCAAATTAGAAGAAATTTTTTTTTGTAAATTTAAAAAATTGACTGCAAATTTCATTAAATCAAATTTGACTAAATAAATTAAATATTATTTAAAAAAAACTTTTTTTATTCAATATAAAATAATTTTTAATTTTTTTTATCATAAATGACTATAATTTTAATTAATAATTATTTTATTATATTTAGTTTTATTATTATTAATCTTCATGCTTTTATGTTTTTTATATTTAATATTTATTATAATGTGTGATCGTAATAATAATTTTAATTACTGTTATAATTATTATTTTTAATATTTTTATCAATAAAATTATTATATATTATATTCTTAAAAAAATTATTTTATTAATTTCCATCATCTTGATTAAATCT